ATTAGCAATCCCCAAAAACCAAATGCCAAGTGATTTCTGATTTAAGGATGCTGATCCATAATATGCTGCGAAGCGGGGGATGGGAGGATTAAATGAACTCCAGAGAGGGCAAAGGGGAAAGGGGAGGGAGGGGAAGAGAGGGGGCATAGGGTAAGAAAGAAGTGGAATGTGATGGTCATCATTACCCTAAATACATGTATGAAGACTCGAAAGATGTGACTCTACTTTGTGTACAACCAGAGATAAGAAAAATTGTGCTCTGTATGTGCAATATGAATTGTAATGCATTCTGTTGTCATATATAACAAATTAAAATTTAAAAAAAGAAATTGCATCTTTACTTCATAATTTTACTAATGAGACAATTAGCGATTCTATTATTTTAAGTATTTTTGATTAGCAATCCCCAAATTTTTCTAGAGGAGATTAACTTATCCTTTTTCATCTTGAAATTCTGTTTACGCTCTATCAAGTAGTTTGTTTGGAAAGCCATGATATTTGCAACAAAGAAATGAGAGAGTAAACATTTTTGGTAATTCTTATTCTGAATTTTTATAGCTATGATAATTTTTACTACTGAGATAGGAAATCAGGACAAAAAAATCCCCCCAAAACTAAAACAAGAGTTCTCTAAATTTCAGATATTTTATTCTTTAAAAATTAGTCCATAAACCTTAATTTCAGTAAGAAAGAAAATTAATTGAAAATAATGCTGATAGCAGATAAATTTTCTTATGGATAAGAAGTTGGACTTTTCCAAGGTGCTACATTAAGATCATGATCCAGTGAGTAAGAAATCACCCCAGAATTCAGCACCTCAACACAGCCATTTTATTTTGTTCTAATTTTGTTGGAAGTCATCTTTAATCTACCGTGGGTAGTGAGGAAATAATTTTAAGATATGATACAATCCATTTTTAGTGAGTTACTATATCCCATTTTGAAGCATTAAATTGGGAATTAAAATGCCTTTGTTAGTTTCTTTTTTAAGATTTTAAATAGTTGACAGTGAATGCTGAATTCTTTTTAATTGGCTGAACTTGCCTCAGGGTGTTTGGTTTGGCCTCACAGTGTTTTTAAAAAGCCAACATTGTGATAAAGGAGGATATAATACAAAATTCCAAATTTTCAGCTTCTCTTGAAAAATGGAAAGTTTGGGTCATAAAAACCTGAATTCCACTGGGTTGCATCAAAACTGAGTAATAGTTGTTTCCATAGAAGGCACCAACTCTGAATCAATTTCTAGTGTTAAATGCTATTTTTCAATGTGTTTATGTCTTTTTTCTCCCTTATGGTATATATCTGTACCCAATCTTCATTAGAAGGGGATAACTAAAGAAAGACAAAGAGTCTATATATGTCCGGAAATGAGAGAATGCATTTTCTGTGTGATGGGAGAGGGGGCTGGGGGTGGAAGGATATTCCTACATGTTCAAAATGCCAATGTCCCTGCCCACATGGCTTACCTAGGTTATCTGCTTGACCTTTGTAGGCATTGAAGTTATATGCCTCACTTTAGGGACCAGAGGATAAGGTTGTTCTTGAATATTTAGCAGAGACTCCCCAGAATTTAGAGGGAGTGCAGAAACATGCAGTTGCGAGAGCAAAGCTTTGGAACACTGGTCCTTAATTTTTAGTTGGTCAGTTGCGGGATTATGGAATGAGCACTGGATAAAGAGAGAGGATATTGGTAGTGGATTAAAGACAGCTGCAAATTCTTTGTCACTCTGCCTGAGGATAGGTGGATTTGATTTCTCCTCCCTTTTGAATCTGTTCTTGGCCTTTGACTGCTTTGATCTGTAGGATATAGGGGTTATGATGCTAACCTTTCAGATGACTGGTAGCTTCCATTTCTTTCTCTTGGAATGCAGCCACCACACTGTGAGGAAGTCCAAACAGCCACATGGAGAGCTCTACATGGAGGAGAAATGCAGCTGAAGCTTATAACTAGCACTAATTTGCCATTCCTATGAAGAAGTCATCTTGGAAATGGATTCTCCTTTCCTCATCAAGCTGCCCAGATGCCACTATAAGGAGCAGAGATACCCTGTCCCTACTGAGTTTTGTCCAAATCACATAACTGTGCACAAATGATTGTTGTTTGTTTAGGCCACTAAATTTTGGCAGGGCTTGTGCTACAGCTATCAATAGTTTACTGTGAGGATCTATCTAGTATTTGTGCTCCCAGAATCTGATAAGGGTGTCATTAGTTTCCTTGGGGAAACCAATCCTACTTCCACTCTTAGAACATATGCTTTAAATGATGTTGACTTTGTCCCTGGCTCAAGGGATGAGCTTCTGATTCAGCTTGGCCAACTCAGAACTGACCACCCCAATTTTTCTTGAACCAGGCCTGTGACCCAATCAGAGCCAATGAGATACAGTAAGATTGCTACTCATGCTGATGAAAGAAACGTCTTTCTTTTCAACTGGATTTAAACCCATGAGGATATCAGCCCAGAACTGCCAGGGGCAGAGAATGAAGCAAACACAGGGGAAGGCTAGGAGGAGAGATGGAGAGAAACCAGGTCCTGATGACATTATGAGTTTGGATGTAGCAGGGCCTGAGGTCATCCTGGGACTGCAGGGGCCAGAAAGGTTTATGTTATTTTGCTTGAACCAGTTTGAATTGGATTTTCTGTCACTTGGCCCAGAAGGAGTCCTCAGTTATAGAGGATCTGAATTTTGATCCCAACATTGGTATTTTTTTTAAATTAAAAAAAAAATCTTTATTTTTTGTTTATTTATTTTTATGTGGTGCTGAGGATCGAACCCAGTGCCTCACATGTGCGAGGCAAGTGCTCTGCCACTAAGCTACAACCACAGTTCCTTTTTTTTTTTTTTTTTAAAGAGAGAGTGAGAGAGGAGAGAGAGAGAGAATTTTTTTTAATATTTATTTTTTAATTCTCGGCGGACACAACATCTTTGTTGGTATGTGGTGCTGAGGATCCAACCCGGGCCGCATGCATGCCAGGCGAGCGCGCTACCGCTTGAGCCACATCCCCAGCCCACAACCACAGTTCCTTGTAAATTTTTTTTAATTTGACATAAATTCAGATTTATAGAAAAAAATTGCAAAAATTGCAAAAATAATATATAAATACTTCCTGTAACCCTCTACCTAGATTTCCCAAATGTTAACAATTTTGCATTTGCTTTTTCATTTATTTTTTTCTGTACATAATTTTTTTTTCTGAACAGATTGAGAATACCATGCAGACGCAATATCCATACTGAATACTTGATTGTATTTCCTAAAAACAAAGACATTCTCCTACATAACCACAGTGTAATTATCAAAATCAGGAAATTAATATTGATATAATGCTACTATTTCATCTATTAGTCTTGTTGACATTATACTCCTTGTTCCCAGTAATGTCCTGTAGAGCAAAAGGAAAATTTGGATCATATACCGTATTTACTGTCATGTCTTGTTAGTCTATTTTAATCCAAAACAGTTGCTCAGTCTTTCATGATGTTGATATTTTGGAAGAGTACAGACAAGTTATTTTATGTCTTTCCACTTTGTCTAAGGTTTCCTTATGATTAGATTCAGGTTATGAATTTTTAGCAGGACTATAACAGAAATGATGTGTTCTTTTCAGTGAATTAAATCAGGAGGCAGGTAGTGTCCCTTTGTCCCATTACCTCTCAAGTAACGGGACATTTATTTATATTTGACTAAAGTGCTAGCTGTCAATCACTCCACTGTAAATGACTATTTCTTTCTTTGTAATTAATAAACAGTACAGAGGGATACTTGGAGTCTATGGAAATACCCTGCTACTCCTCAAACCTTTAGTTTTATGATTTTCATCCTAAATGACGATTTCGGTGGTGGTTACCAAATGGTGACTTTTCTACTTCTGCCCTTCTTTCCATAGTTGTGGGCTGGCTTTCTAATGCAAAGAAGAGCTCCCCACCCCTTCTCATCTATTTATATCTCTCCATCTATCTACTCTTCCTCCCCCCTCTCATTTATACTGACTCATGGGCCCCAATTTTGTCCAGTTTGTTATAATTCTTTGCCATCATTGATGGTGTGGCAGTTGCTTTGATGCCCAGTTGCTTTTGATCTTGCCAGTGGACGGGAGTCCCTTCAAGCTGACTTCTGTGTCTAACCCCCTTTAATGAAGGGGATAAAAGAATAAGCTTTGAGACCAGATTGCTGGGGTTCAAATTCTAGCTCCCTGCTTAACCTGGACGCTTTGGGCAAGTTACTCAACCTTTGTTTTCCTTAGTTTTCTAACATGGAAAATGGACCATAACAGAAAATGGGCACTTTATTGGATCATTGAAGGATTATGAGAAATAATATCAGATAAATTTAGAATAGTACTGTACATACATTAAGCACTCAATATCATAGTTGCTATCCTTTTTGGATTTCTGGTTTTTCATGGGAAAATGGTGGGCTAATTTTGTTTTGCTTTGTAACGTTGTTAAGATTAAACTGGGTAAAGATGAAGTACCTGAAAGCTACTCTCAAAATGTTAACTATCTTTCCTTTTCCCTTTGCAAAGAGGAGGAACAAATAAAATGTTACAGATAAGGGAGTCTTTTAGAGCTGTCTTATTGTTGGGGATCCTCATTTTGTTCACTTAAGAGCTCCTCAAAGAGAACATGGAGACAGAATTTCTTAAACCTATTTTGTGCAAATTCGGAATCTTATTTTGGAATGCCCATCTGCAGTGAACCATAGGTAACACGTATTCAACACTTCCTACTGCTAAATACTGCTTAGTGCTTTAATGCATTATCTAATGGAGTCATAACAGGAGCCCTGTGCCGGTGGAGGTGGCCATAGCTAATCCTATTTATAGCTGGTTATACTGGCCAGTAACTAATGGAGCTGAGCCTTGACCCCAGACGTCCAGCCCCAGAGACTTATCAATTACACTAATGTGTTTTCAGCATTCTAATCTTGTCCTGAGGTAGCTCACCCACAGGCCCTCTAGAGTTGACTCTGCCTTCTTTCTTTGCTTGTCTTCCCTAAGGCCTTTGCCTGCACCATCACGGACTGGGATTCGGATGACTGTCTCCATCTTCTCACGAGAACCATTCTGAGGACAGATGACAGTCTGATGCAGATGCATATTCACCATTGCTCCCTTCATTTATGTAAGTAGCTGGGGCCCTTCTCTAAGGAATATGGATCTTTGTCTTGTAACAGCTGGGAGGATGTGAAGCCCCCACTCTTGGGCAGTAGTGAAACTAGAGTTACCTCTTAAATCTCATGAGACAAGCACGGCAGTCAGGATGCACGTGCTCAGTTTCGCTGCTACCCTCTCTACAAGTGTCCTTTGCTCCATATCCATCCCCTTGTCCTTCTCTTTGTTCTAAGGGAAGAAGTGTTCCTCCTCCTGATCTCAGCTGATTCCTGGGTTTGAAGGGACACCACTGTCCTCATTTTTCTCTAGGATCCTGATTGAGAAATCATTCTATTTCACCATATTTTCAAACTCCTCATTTCTTTTCTAATGATTCCTTTCCTTTTGCTGGTTTCTCCCATTTAAACAATTTTGTTATCCATGCGACGCTCTCCTAGAGTTATCATTTCTTCTGTGCTCCCTTCTGCAGACTTTTCTTCCTGAAAAAAATGGTCAGTAGTGCCTCTGCTTCTTCACCTGTCATTATTCCTCAACCATGCTACCATGGGTAAAGGCAAATTTATTTATTGGCACTGGGGATGGAACCCAGGGGTGCTTTACCACTGAGCTACATCATCAGTCCTTTTTAGTTTTTATTTGGAGATAGGGTCTCACTAAGTTGAGGAGGCTGGCCTCGAGCCTGGGATCCTCCTGCCTCAACATCCTGAGTCACTGGGATTACAGGTGTACACCACTGTGCAGGGCACCAAATGCAAATTTTAAGGGTCATGACACATCATGTGCTGCTTCCTCCACAAGAGTCAATTTCCTCTTTGATTTTGGTGACAATATTCTCTCCTGATTCCCTTCCAATTGCTCACACTGTTTCTGAGTGTCCTTAGTATATCTCTCTAGTGTTCCTTCAGTTGTAGAGCCCCCTCTCAGAGTCCTCACTTGGGTTCTTTCCTCATCTCTCTGCCTGTAGCCAATTTCAGCCACATGTTAGTGACCCTGTGTCTGTATCCCCAGCCCAGCATTGTCTCCTGAGATCCAGCTATCTTCAAGTTTTCGTCTGGCACATGTGACTCTACCATTGGTGAGTCAGGTACTATCAAAGGTCTTCATAAACTGGCAGACCTTGCTCTGGAACACAGTAAACACCCCGAAGAGAGCAAACACCACATTCCAGAGATCAAACACTGGCAATCAGCAATACATACTCATGCCGGTTGTACAAGTTCACATGAACCATCAGGTGTAAGTCCTCACACGTCTCCAGCCATTTGTAAGGAGAATGTGTGTGTGTTCTTTTATTTACAAAACCAATGAATTTAATATTTAATACACTTTACCCAGAGCAAATTATATATGGGCTGCAGTGATGTGTGTTTGTGTGTATGTGTGTGTATGATTTGACATACCAAGTTGTTAATTTAAGTTCTTGTGAGTGCATACTTTTGATGAATGTTCTTGCCAATTGGACTATTTGTAAATTCAGCCAATGAGAATTCAGCAGTACCCTGGTTTTAAAAAGTCGATTTCATCTCCATGAACTTGGAAACTAAATTACAGTGAAAACTAAACTGTAAATTGTAGTGGCTTTTTATAAGCGCCATAAAGCAATTTAAAAAGTGGATTACTCATAAGGAGTGATTAACAATAAAGTAATATTGCACCATAACAAAAACTAGTCTAGGCAAAAGAGGACATGGCAATCACAAAAATCTGAATTTGATTTGGCAGAAAGATAACAGTGAGTAACTTCAGAAGAATTAAACTTGCTTCATTTACAGCTTTTGCCTTGGGCCTCCCGAGCTGTAGATCTACTAGTGTTCCATGGCATTGCAAATTTAACACATCTCAACACAGGCTAAAGAGTCCCTATATTTCCCAGTAGTACCTCCCTCTGTACCAGTGTATACTCAAACCAGCCAACCAGTCACCAGGCAAGAAGGGTTGATCCATTTCAGAGAATAAAATACACACATTTCAGTTGACACCCAGAGCTCTTTGTTACTGGTCATTTTCCATACTTCCAGCTGCAGCTTTTGTCACTTCCCCTAGTGTGACTATATTAGTTAGGAATGCTTTCAGCTGCAAGTATCAATTTAAGGTTTGTTTTTCAAACATAGAAAAAAAAGCGAATTTGGTAGTTCTCAGCATCAGTACAGTGAGAAAGCTATTGTAGGGGTGATGTCCTATCCTGTGTTCTTCCAAAAACAGAGACTGAGTCAAAGGCTGACATGCAGGTAGTTTTTTTGGGAAGTGACTCCAGGGAGCAAGAGTAAGGACCAGGGAGACTGAAACAGGCAGAGAAGGAAGGAAACTCCAACACAAATCGATTATCCATTTGGTCACCTCTGTAAGGGATTAGTATTTGATCTCCCAGCACCTCCTGAGTAGTATATAAAATAAAAAATATACTACATAGAGTTATCTGTCCAAGGAACAAAAAGGAGAAGCATCTATCTATCAACTTGAGAGTTGTTTATGGGACATGGACTCACCTGTTCCCCTGAATCACAATGTGTAGAGATCATGTGTGCTCCCCCAGGCAATCCATGTCACAGCAAAGTCCTGGTGCAGGAAGTAAGAGAGAGTAGGGTCCACTTAAGAGGAGATGTTGTCCATTTGCACTGATTTGAACTTCTCTGCAACTATCCACATAGCTTTGGCTGCATTGTTAATGAGACTGGGGATGTGTATGAAGGGTCTCTGCCTTCTTGCTATCACAGTAATTTCCTCTGTACTAAGATACATGAAATCACCTTGTGTGAGATCACCTCAATAACATCCTCCATGTTATTCTCTTTTGGGATGCTCGTTCTCGGACTCCAGTCATCTTATAATGAGGAAGCCCAGGCTACCTGGAGAGGCCCTCTTGGAGGGGTGTTGTAGTTCTTGACCTTCAATCCAGGCTTAACTCCAGGCCAATACCCAGCACCAACTTGCCAGCCATGTGAATGGGCCATCTGAGAACCAGACCCTCTGACTCTCCACCAAACTGTCCCAGCTAGCATTGTTTGGAGGAGGAATAAGTGTTTCCCACAGAGCCTTGCCTACACAGAAGATTCTGGGGCAAAAACTATCATTCTAAACCAGTAAACTTTGACATAGTTTATTAGGTACCGGTTTACAACTGTAGCAAATTGTGTTATCTGAAAGTGGGGTGCTCCCATAATAAAAGCCTAAAACATGTGATAGTGGCTTTGGATCTGAGTAGTGGGTAATAGTTGGAAGGGCTTTGAGGAAACAGCTGGAGTCTATTGACCTTGAGGATACTGTCTATGAGAGCTTAAGAGAGAGGAAGGGAAAATTACTGGAATCTGATGGAAAGAGGATTTTTCCTGCAGTGACATAGAAAAGTAAAGTATATACATAATGAACTGGTGAATATGGCTAAGGAGATATTCAAGAAGAATTTTCAAAGTACCAACTGAATCTATGTATGATTGGGTAAGGCTGGGGAGAGATGAACTAAGAAGAAGGAACTATTGATTTTCAAGCAAATTTAAAGAAAATATAAAGAATCCAGGACTCATTGGATTTGAAAATGAAACTTTCCCCCCCCTCCCATTTCTAGCTTATCCAGAAGCCATTGAATTCTCAAATTAAGCAGTGACCTTGGGCCAAAGATCAACTCCAAGAGGTAATTTCTGAATGATCTGAGTCGGTGCTTTTTTAGAAAACTATGAGAGAGATCAAAGGCTCTCTAAATATCTATGTCACTGATCCTGTTAAACAAGGTTTATAAGACTCTTGAGGGGCAGTTCCTCAACACGCTCACCAGTAGCTTAAGGTAAAGAGGGTTTGTCTCAATGATTTTTTTTTTTTTTTTTGTGGGTCTCACTTTTGTCTGAGGGCACCCTTCATGGAGAATCGACAAGTTTTTAAGAATATTATATCATTCTGAACAAAACCCGCAGGGACTAAAGGGTATAGAGACAATATAACACACAAAGAGACTTTTAGACCCCCCACTTCTATGGATAGGCAGCAGACTGAGAAAATTATAGCTAAAAATGTGGGGTATATTTTATTGAAAAATAAGGGTAATTAGGAGTATAGAATCAAAACTCAAAATGTAGAGTTAAGAGCTATACACAGGCAGTAGAACAGAATCCTACTCAAGGAACGCAAAATGTGCCCAGTGTGCTTACAGCCATGATTTCCATTAGTTTCCCTTTCTTGAATAGGAGTGTTTGCAAAAGTTAAATATAAATATAAAGTTTTAATATAAAGTTTTACCACTGTGTGGTGGGGTGTGTATGGGACAGATAACTTTCTCTTTAGTTCATGGGTTTTCGTATTTAGAGAAATTTACTCAAGGGGCTGTACTAGAGGAACTTCATTCAAGGAGCATTATTGTCTTTGTATGGTCATTTCTCTTAGGTGAATACCTTGAGTAGAAAAGCTGAATTATATAGCAGGGTTGTATTTAGCTTTTTAAGATACTCCAACTGTTTTCCACTGGATTTGCCTTAGATGATGAAATCCTGAACCTCAAACTCGAGCTCAGTACAATCATGGAATAAGATTTTGAGGATTTGGGGGCAAGAAGGGTATTTTGCTTGTGAGAAGATTATGAATTACTGTGGCCAGAGGACTGTGGCAAATTGTAGTTTCCACATACACACACACACACACACACACACACACACACACACACAAAGTCAATGTTTTCCATTTCATGTGTTTTTCCAGAATTTACCTTTACCTGTCAAGACAGTCTGTATGTCCTTTCCCCTTGGATCTGGTAGCACCTTTGCGACTGCCTCCATCACTGGGGTTTGGCTGAAGTGATGCTATGTGATTTCCAAAGCCAAGCCATAAAAGGGAAGCAGCTCATGCCTGACTCTTCCAAGACACTAGCTTTTTTGATCCCAGTCACTAGACTGGAAGATCAGGTTATACGAAATGTTTCAGGTGGAGAGAAACAAAGGCCTCCAGTGTTCAGCCCAGGTGAGCTCCTGACCGACAGCTAGTACAGATTTGTCAGCATGTGAGAGAGCCATTTTGGGGTCTCGTCCT